AGAAAACTTATTATAGGAACTTCATTGAAGTTTGTATGATCATTTGTGTAGAAACTTTTACAGCGCATCTTTTAAAACAAAATTCAATGTTGTCGGATTTATCTATGCTGAAATGATGACAAAATGCCCAATGTTGCAAACATTTTGGTTCACCCGGTATATATACAACTTATTATAGATGAAAAATATGAACACACGATTACTCTTAATGGATCTAGAAGACATCTTCACATACTTGAATTTTCGAATCAATTACAGTAGTAGTAAAATTAAATTATCTTGAGTGTGCGTGTGTAATTGATATAATACTCATAGTCACATCTATGCTCACACCCTCTCTCTCAATCGATCGATGTCTCATATGAATCTTTACAATTTTTACTTATTTTCATTGCGTAGAGACTCCATCAATGATCGTAATACCATATTTATCAGTCATACAATCGACATATTCATCAGAGTTCACTATGGGTAGTCCAACATATTATCCAGGATGTCGGTTTGGGATTTATTACTATCAAACTACACGAATCCATGTGACAGAAAATGGATATTATGTTCTGAGCATTCCTAGTGAAAGTGGCACAATCAGTTACATTTACAAAGATGATTTTGATCCAATGAATCCTTTAGAGAATGTATTCTTGGTAGCTGATCAAAGGTGTACTGATCGAGTTGAGAGGATCATCGCTTATCTTCATACCGACACCACATATATATTAGTAGTGGGAATGTCCAATCAAGACAAAACAGGAAACTTTTCCATTATGGCATCTGGCCCAAATAACATCACCATTTATCCCTATAGTAAGTAGTTTGAATTATGTGTCAATCATAAACATAGAAGCACATCAACTCACTAAATTCGGGTTCACTTTTGATCCATAATGATGAGGGTGTGGATACTGTATTCACCTAGCACTCACACCTACACCCCACATCCTTGTTGCTTGCGCTCAAAAGAATGCGCCGACAGAACTTTTTTAATTGAGAAAAATTGACCTCATTTCTTGTTGACCATAAAATTCTTTCTCTAGCTCAAACGCGGACCAGTTGTTTCATCGGCCAAAAGTGTAAGTTCTACAAGAAAAATATTGGTGTCACTCTCGATGATATTTTGCGTGGTGAAATTCGACCAGGAAAGACATTGAATGATCAAACAATATTGATAAAAATCAATGCGGCTGTGACAACGATTATGTTTGCTGGAGGTTTGATCAATAGTATTTTCTCTCTGTTAACATTTCAAAGTAAAAACTTGCGAAAAGTTGGATGTGGCATGTATCTTTTAGCATCATCAATTACTTCTTTTCTTACACTCAGCATGTTTACAGTGAAATTTTGGTTTGTTATTCTCACTCAAATGGATCTATCGATTCGTTTTTCTGTGGTACAAGGAGGTTGTATATCTATCGAAGCTCTTCTCAAGTTCTGTCTGTATTTGGATGCTTGGCTTAATGCCTGTGTTGCAGTTGAAAGAGCGATTCTTGTCCACAAAGGAGTCAACTTCAATACACTCAAAAGTCAACATGTTGCTCGATGGATAATTCTTGTATTGCCATTTTGTATCATCGGTTCAATCATTCATGAGCCATTACATCGGGAACTACTTGAATTTAAAACAGAAACGAAACTAGTGGAAATCGACAGATGGTGTGTCACTCGTTACTCTCCTTTTCTTCAACAATACAATACAATTATCCTATTTTTTCATCTTGTTGCTCCATGTGTTATCAATCTTTGTTCTGCTTTATTCATCATATTCGGATCAGCCCTACAACGAGCAACAGCACAGACAAGAAAAACTCTACGAGAACATGTTCATCACCAATTCCGTGAACACAGACAGCTCTTAATCAGTCCCGTCATTCTTTTAGTTCTGGCTTTACCCCGTCTCATCCTGTCGATGTTATCTGAATGTGTAAATCCGTCTAAACATCGATGGTTATTTGTGTCTGGTTATTTCATTGCATTTACCCCATCGATGCTTATCTTTGTTGTCTTCATCGTTCCTTCGGACCTGTACAAAAAAACACTTCGCGAATCACTCAGACAATGGCTACGCCGACTTCATCAATAAGCAATGTTTCTGCATTGTTTTTGGACTTTTGTAATCTATTGGAATACTACTGGCAAAAGACAGCTTTATTCCTTTGAATTTGACAATTATTGATAATCGAATTGTGAAAGATAACCTTGATGAACTTAGGGCGATACCATTTCTAATCTGTTTAATAAATGAAAAACATTTGAGAAGTGAGTTAGGATTTGTTCTTCACTTTTAGTCTCTATTGTAAGTATGCACCAATTCTGAAACTGACTGAAATTGGTATCGAATTTACTCTATTTATGAAGACTTGCTCGAAAATCAATCCGAAGGTAGCTTTGAACTAATTGCATGTTTTAAAATCGTGTATGAGTACCGACAACTAAATAACTATAAGTAACTAAAACACAAAAGTATATCTTTCCTTGAAGACAGCATACAAGCATAGTGCTAAAGACTCTGATTTTGAGTTTGCTATGTAAAGAAGATCAATTAATTTGGATTAATTCGTTCGATAATGTCTTGCTGTGTAAAGAATACAGTTTAAAAGTGACATAAATGATAGGAGTCGACTAAAACGTTCTGCTGTATTTATTAGTGTCCTGATCATGCCCTGAAAATCGACTCAATTACAGCATCTCAGGTACTTCATGATGTACAAATGTAATCTTAATTATTTGCATACATCTCGAGGGGGATGGATGGGATTGAGGGGTGTTAAACTCTTCTTCTATTCACACCCACCCTCATTATCCAGTAGTAAGCAGGTAACAATGGTCAGACATTTGAGCAGTAAGGAAACAAATAACACGTAAAGAAAGATTTTTCATGATGTATTAGTACTTCCGGTGCCTAAGATTTTTCTATTATTTAGAGCAGTGCAAATTTAAATCAAACATCGATTTCATAAACTAGAGACTACAGCGTAACATTCTATTCCACTGTTGCAGTTCTGCTTTGAATTTTAAAAAACACAAAAAATGTTCTGTTTTACGTGATTTTACCCATATTTGTTACAAAATCACCTCCTTCAGCAGCTAAGACTTTGTCTGGGTGTGGATGTGGGTAGTTATCTAATTTAATCTGAAAAATATCGAAAATAGTGAGAAATGATTATAATCAGTATAACATCAATCATGATTTTGAATGTATAAAATGAAAAATACCTTTTATATTTTTGTTCCTAATACAGAATAAATGAAAGAGACTAAAAAAACAGTGTAAATCTTTAATGATGATTCTATAATAAAATTTGTTTTTCTTTGAAATTATATAACAGAATTGTAGTAAACTGCAAATGATGAATCATTTTTACCTCGTTTATATTTAAAAGAACAATACTCTCTTTTTTTCCTAATGACTTCAAAAAAATATCTTTTTTATATATAGAATATGAGAGTATAGTTTCTACTGGGAGATCAGTCAAATATTTAATAATATTACATTCGCTATGATATACTAGAAAAATATATTTCAGAGAATAGAAAAAATTCTTATCTTTTATTTTTCATATCGATGTAAATCTACTATAATAGATTTTTTTCTCTATTTTATGAGTCATTCTTGTTCTCTATAGTTTATTTTATGTTTTCCAGCGAATATATATTATATTATATTTTGAAAATAGTGCATTCAATAATAAACAAAATAAATGTGTTTTGCCAAGTCATATGCTTTCTGTAATAATAAATGAATTTTTTTTCTTACCTATTCTCTTTTTGAATAAGTAAGTTTTTTTATTAGTTAAAGAGCTTTTACAAATGAAAATTTTTCAGAAACAAGATTTAAATATACGTAGATTGTGCTATCATATCTAAGAATGATACTTTTTTTTTCTTTTTAGTTAATATTTCGTCACTATTATCTTTGAACGATATTATAGATTATTAATCTGCTCTTAAATATTTTTTTTCAAACCTTAAACAAGCGTTTCCTAAATATGACTATTCCTTTTTTTTTGTTTTTACATCTGATAAACCATGCGTAATATGAGAGAAGAAAACAGAATCGCTGCTGACGTGATACTATAATAGAAAGTGTAAGTATTTATTAAAGACACTGGAGAATACTCCGCTACCATATTTTTTTTTCCTCTTCTTATTTAAAAAAATAAATTCAAGTTAAACAAATATAACACAACTGATTATTTATTTCACCGATATTAAGTAAGATACAGAAATAGGAAACTTCCCAATTACATAATTACGAGGACATAGAACCAAAAGAACTGTGATCATCACTTATAGTATCATTCTTTATGTTTCTTTTCTATATACAGTAGTCGCCAAAAAAACTTCCACAAAATTGTTTTTTGCTTGAAACAAAAAAAATTTTGTACAAGTTTTTTTGGCGACTACTGTAATACCAAGTCTCATTGTGTAGATGTTTCTAAGCATATTGTAAACATGATTTATCTTAAAAAAGTAAGTTCAATATAGAATAATTACACAAAAAAAAGTATTTTTATTTAGATAAAGACCTTCAATCAAATATGAGAAACGATTATTCTCTTTCTTAGAAACATAAAACAAAACAAAAACATCGTTTTCCTCATTTCAAAATTAGATTTTGCAATAAGAAAAAGTAGTTTTTTTTTCTAATACTAAAAATAATATAAAAGAATACATTTGCCAAATGCTTTTTCGAAGCCTCTTGATGAGAAAAAGAGAATAGAAACAGTCATATTTTTAATTAAACAAATATATATCTTAGAAAAATATATCATTGAGAAAAAGAATCATCACTGATGTATTGTAGAAAAAATTCATTCTATGTTAAAGAGATTGATTTTATGTTTTTTAACAAAATTATTGTTATTTTTAATGACTATTTTTTATTCTATTCATTTCAAAAGCAGTTGGTGTTAGTTAATAATGTCTGCCATGATAGAGGACGCTTTCAGTTTGTGTTTCATCAGATAACTACTTTACTGATTTTATTTCAGATAAATAATATGGTATTATTTAACTTGTTCAATATTTGGTTATTATCGGTGTTTATTGGTCAAATATTAGGTATGCGTTTTGTTTAAATAAGATATTTAACTTTATACAATAATCTTTCTTATTTACTGTAGGCATTGCATACAATCAACCAAAATTTTGTGCAAATGCAACATGGAATCCTGCGGCTATAACTTTTTCTAATAGTACTATAATTGGTACAAATGCTCATGGACTTTTTGTCGATACAAATAATACGATTTACCTAGCTGATACAGCAAATGATCGCGTGCTAATTTGGTTTAATGGTAGTACAACACCGACAAGTATTATCTCGGGTGGTTTAGATTTACCCTATGGCCTTTTCATCACAGATAATCGTGATATTTATGTTGATAATGGTAATACAAATAATCGAGTGGATAAATGGGCATTTAATTCAACAAGTAATGTTCCAGCAATGTATAATTGTGGACCATGTTATGGTCTTTTTATTGATATTAATAATATGCTTTACTGCTCACTGTATCATTCTAATAAAGTTATCGCAAAATCATTGAATACACATTTAAATATTTGGAATACTGTCGCTGGAACAGGAACTGTTGGATCAACACCGTCTACACTTAACGGACAATGTGGTATCTTTGTCGATAATAATCTAAATTTGTACGTGGCTGACACTGCTAACAATCGAATTCAAAAGTTCGCATCAGGACAATTAAATGGAACAACAATAACAACAGGAACTATTATACTAAATAATCCAACTGGAATTATTCTTGATTTTGATGGATATCTTTTTATTGTTGATCAGTATAACTGTCGTGTTATCGGTTCAGGACCTTATGGATATCGATGTATAGCAGCATGTTCTGGAACTTATGGCTCATCATCTAGTCAATTATATCTTCCATACTCACTTAGTTTTGATAGTTATGGAAATATATTTATTATGGATGAATACAATCGTCGCGTTCAAAAGTTTTTATTAATAATAAATGGATGTAGTAAGTGAAAATAAATCTCATTTATTGCATTAACTAAAATTATATCTTTTTTTAAATAGATGGAACAACAACAATGTCTAGTGGTAATTTCTTATTAATTTTTGTTTTACTGAGAATTTAGATTTGTTTTTAATAGTAACACCGATAGATAGTACGCAATCAGTTCCTTTATTAACATCTACCTATGGAACAAATTCTACAAGTGTATCTTCTTCGACAAGTATGTTGTTTATAAAATATTTTTTAGAAATTTCATTCAGATTTTTTTATATTATTCATATGAAGTTTAATTAGTTTATCATACTTTTCAGTGGACTGTTCGTTAAGTAAACAAATCTAGCTATAGAAAGTAAGAATAATATTAGTCGACCATACCTGGTTAGTATAGTAGAAATGAATGGAACGAATCAAACATTACCACGACTTTTTGATAAATACTCTAAATTTTCAGTACAGTTTTCCAATAAAATCTATCGCGTATAACTATCATAGAAAGAATACCCAAGCAAAATAATTTCATTATAGTATATTATTGTTCAGTTAAATAGTAATTAGGCAAATGCTGAAGGTACACGAAATGATTAATTTATTAAGAATTGAAAGAATCTTTGATAATTATATTTTTGTAGATCTTTCATACAATCTGCCAACATTCAGCGCTTATGCTACTTGGAGTTCTAATGGAGTAACTCTTTTTAACACTACTACCATCGGAACAAATCCATATGGTTTATTTGTTGATACTAACAATACACTTTATATATGTGAATATTCTAAAAATATGATTCAAGTATGGCTTGAAAATAGTACCGTACCTATAAGAAATATTAGTGGTGGTTTATCTTCTCCCTATGCGATGTTTGTTACAGTTAACGGTGATGTTTATGTTGATAATGGTAATTCAAATAGTCAAGTAGATAAATGGGTAGTAAATTCAACGATTGGTGTTTCAGTAATGAATGTCAAAGCCGCATGTTGGGATCTTTTTGTTGATATTTATAATAATATTTATTGTTCACAATATGCATATCATCAAGTAGTTACAAAATCATTAAATAGTAGTTCAAATATGTGGATTATTGCTGCTGGTACAGACTGTCAAGGATCAACATCAAATACACTTTATAATCCTCGTGGTATATTTGTTGATACAAATTTAAATTTATATGTTGCTGATTATAATAATAATCGAATACAATTATTTTTATCAAATCAATTAAATGCTGTTACAGTAGCTGGTTCTGGAGCATCATCAACTATTAGTCTTTCTGGTCCTAGCGGAGTTGTTCTTGATGCTGATGGTTATCTATTTATTACGGATAGTTTTAATCAACGTATTATTGGTTCAGGTCCAAATGGATATCGTTGTCTAGTAGGATGTTCACAAGTTGCCGGTTCAGCATCTAATCAATTGAATAATCCAGTAACTTTAAGTTTTGATACTCATGGAAATATGTTTATTACTGATTCAAATAATCATAGAATTCAAAAATTTTATTTAACAACCAATATTTATAGTAAGTAAAGTAGAATATTTTTTATAAGATTTAATAACTACGATAAAATCTAATCGAAGAGATTTATTTGAATTAATCAATCTTAGTATTGTTTTTATGCAAGACACAATGGTGGAATTGATTCTGATTATATTAAACTATCGAATTCTCTTAAGATCTTTATAAGATCGAACATAAGATTAATATTTTTTATTAGGAAATATTTCATTTGATGAAGACGTTGCATTAATAACACTAATGACTTTCAATTTATTTCTATTTCTAGGTACAACTATCAATCAACCAAGCTTCTGTCCATCTACAACTTGGTATACAGATGGGATTACATTTGCTAATAGTAGTACGGTTGGAACTTACGTATATGGTGTTTTTGTTAGTATTAATAATACTATTTATGTAGCTAATCAACAGACTAATACGATTATAGTATGGTACGACGGAAGTATTAATCCAGATAGAATTATTGCTGGTAGTTTGACTACACCATATGATCTTTTCGCTACTCCTCTAGGTGACATATACGTTGATAATGGTGCACATAATGGTCGAGTTGATAAATTTTCATTCAACTCAAATATAAGTACTTCTGTAATGTCCGTTCCTAATTTGTGTGCTGGTATTTTTGTTGATATTAGTAATACTCTTTATTGTTCAGCGTATACTTCTCATCAAATTGTTAAGAAATGGTTGAATGATAGTGTCCTCACATCAACTATTGTTGCTGGCAACGGTACAGCTGGATCAACAGCGACTACACTTAATACACCTATTGGAATTTTTGTCGATGCTCAAGTTAATTTATATGTTGCAGATACTCTTAATAGCAGAGTGCAAATGTTTCCTATTGGACAATTAACTGGAATAACTTTAGCCGGAGCTAGTGTCCCAGGAACTATTACACTTAATCAGCCAAATGGTATTACATTAGATGGTAGTGGATATCTTTTTATTGCGGATACTGCTAATAATCGAATAATTGGATCAGGACCATATGGTTTTCGATGTTTATTTGGATGTACAACTATTGCTGGTTCTTCATCAAGTCAATTGTATTATCCAGTAACTTTAAGTTTTGATACTTATGGAAATCTATATGTTGCTGATAGAGGTAACGGTCGAGTGCAAAAGTTTATATTAGCATCAAATTCATGTAGTAAGTTATTCTTAGTTTATGTTTTTGGAGAATATATCCTATTCCGCAATGTTGAACATTGGAGGAATCAGCTCCGCACCGGAAGCGATTCCATCTAATTCCGGAAATTTAATCGACACACAACATAAGAGACCGATTCAAGATTGATCGAGTTCGACCGATTTCGGAAATTGAGGAAACTCGACCATTCTTCGAGTGGGTGTGGGATATTATGTGTTGATCGAGTTCCTGGAATTGAACAGAACCGATTCTGAGGCGAAACTAGTTTCTGAAATGTTCAGCATTGCGGAATAGGATGACTACTCTTGAATAAACGATAAATGCTTTATATTTTAGCGATATCCACCACCACCAGTACTACTACGAGTAGCAGCAGTACTACAAGTAGTACTACTACCACCACTAGTACTACAACAACTAGTAGCAGTACTACAAGTAGTACTACCACGAGCAGCATTAGTACCACCACAAGTAGCACTACTACCACGACCACCACCAGTACTACTACGAGCAGCAGCAGTACTACAAGTAGCACTACTACTACCACTAGTACTACAACAACTAGTAGCAGTACTTCAAGTAGCACTACCACGAGTAGCAGTAGTACGTCAAGTAGCACTACCACGAGTAGCAGCAGTACATCAAGTAGCACTACTACTACCACTAGTACTACAACAAGTAGCACTACTACCACCACCACCACCAGCAGTACTACTACGAGCAGCAGCAGTACTTCAAGTAGCACTTCTACCACGACCACTACTACCAGTACTACTACGAGCAGCAGCAGTACCACAAGTAGCACTACCACGACCACTACTACCAGTACTACTACATCAACCACAACATCGACAACAACAACTACATCAGTAACAACTGCAACAACGGCGACAACTCCTGTACCACCAGCATACTACTGTCCAGGAACGAGTATAGGTGCTTATTGTAATGTTACATCAGATGCTTGTTCGATGTCACAACCATGCCTTAATGCAGCAACTTGTTTTCCTGATGCGACAGTACCATTAGGATATAGATGTGGATGTCAAACAGGTTTTACAGGTAGTACTTGCGAAAATGATAAAAGAATATGTAAAGACAATACATGTTGGTAATAAATTATGTTTATTTTTATTTCATTTTATGTAAATTCTATTTCTATAGGAATAATGGAACATGTATTGAAGTGAATTCTACTACGGTTGACAAGAATGGTACAACTTTCTATTGTAATTGCAGTGAAAGTTTTACTGGGGTGCATTGTGAACTTAAAGTTAATTTATGTATTAATATAACATGTCAAAATCATGGTATATGTCGCACAATTAACATGAGTTGGAGTTGTATATGCTTAACTCCATCACTTTATTATGGTAATTATTGTGAAATTCAAACAAGTGCATTAAAAGTTAAACAAGCGTTAAGTAGATCATTTGCAAGCGTTGCAATAACTGCTCTAGTATTAACATGTTCATTTGTTATAATAATGGATATTCTTAAATACGTGTTTAAAATTGATCCTGTTAAAGCCGAAAGACTAAAACAACTACGAGCAAAAAAAGCAGCAAAATCAAAACCAAAACCAAAAGCACCAAATGTTGCTATTCGATTTCAATATGTCGCATAAAAAACATTAACTATTCTTATAATTATTTTTAACATATATGTTGTTTTTTTGCCTTATATGTCTAATAAAAAAAATCGCTTTCGTTCAATGTCATATAAGAATATATACGATAAGCTTATTTTTCGATAAGTATAAAAAAAATATTGTGGATGGTATTTTATATTCATATTGTTATTAAAGTTAATATTCAAAATTGTCTCCATCTCTTGCTATTTGTTATTATGATTTGACAAAATTCTATTTTGATTTTATTTTTTTCTCTCTCATGATGTTCATTATAAGGTTATTATTTTTTGAAAATCTTCGATAAATTCGAAGTATTTCACGGCAGCAACAGTAACGAAAAAGAAAGATTTTAAATTACTTCATTGTTTATCTTGAGGGTGTGGGTGTGAGTCTGGCTAGGGTGAGTGTGAATATGAGTGTGGGTGTGGATGTGGGTAACTAGTGTGTTGTAATCCCTTATCTACACGCACATCCACACCCCACACCCACCCTCTTCGCAGTTAGATGATAGATGCAATATGATAACAGTGTATAATCAATTTGAAGGAAGTCACTTATTAGATTCCATTTTAAGCCGTACAAAACAACTGATGAAAAATAGAGATCATTCGGTTTAGAATCGATCTGTAGAATAATTAATATTGTGGTAACCAAAATGAAAATACGAATTTATGACATTTAACTATCATCACTATTTGATTACGGTTTACAATGTGGGTAGAAAAAAAACCTCCCGTCTTGGTATGGATGAAGCTAAGAAAAACATTAAAGATGAATATAGTCTGTTAATAAAATATTTTATTGTAATGTCATTTTATACAGCATCATAAACAATCCCAAGAGCAGATAATGATGCGGCAGGTTTGCAGTTGCTTTATTTACTCCATCTTTGAATCCAGTCGGTCGAGTATTATTCTGCCATATTTGTGGAAGAGTTGTAGTTGTTGTGTTTATTTCAAGTTTGAGTCCCGTTGTTTGTGTACTGTCGGTTGATAGATGAGATTGTTGTGGTTCAGCATTGGCATTCTTTAATTCTTTTATGAATTTGTCAAATTCTTCAATTGTTGTTTTAGTGCCATCCAATTCTTCACCATGAAATTGTCCGTAACGATAAATTCTGTATGTTGGATAATTATGTATTCCATATTTCTCCGTACATTGTGATATATTCGAATTTTCACAATTGAATTGAGCGATATCTACTAGATTTTTACGATCACTTGGTGGTGTATATATAGCTCTTAAATAAATTTTATAAGATACTCTAGACCGAAATCCCCCTATATAGAAAAAAACTAGTAATAAATCGTATCGTTCGGTTGTTGAAGTGAAATTTTCATCTGTAAGAATAAGCACATAGGGAGCTGGAAATCCATCGCGGTTTCCCAGACAATAAATATTATGAGCATTGGGTAACAGCATGAATATTGCCAACGGGAATAATGAATTAATTATAAGCATTATGAGACGAGAAACAGCGAATATGAATTCTTTTATCTTCTCGTAGGATTATATATAAATATATATATATATATGCGTTCTACAAGAAAAAATACATTATATAGATTGGTAGCGATAATATTATTTCCTGTTAGATGAAAACAACTGATGAAAAATGGAGATCATTTGGTTAAGAATAAACCAAATTGAGATATCGAACTTATTGTGTTTAACTATCATCACTATTTTTTGTGCTCGACAATGTGACACTCGGAAGTGCGTACAAATCGGGAATAAAAAGAAATGCAGAAATTGTCTTTAAGCCATAAGCACATCATGGACGCTATCATGTCATAGATAAGGATTAATACAATTATCCATATACCAACACAGTTCTCAAGCATATTAGAGGGACAAATGAATATAAATATCAGAATGAGAGGAAAAGAAAAAGCAAGAAAAGAAATGCATGAATTAGATGCAATACACTCTCTCCTTTTCTTTTCTTTTAATTCCTTTCTACGAATAACAACCACGCTAAGATATACGACTCATGCCATTCGAATAATTGTTTAATACGACGTTTTGGAAAATAATGACCGAGATGATGATTTTTTCTTTTATGGTAATGATCCTATATGAAAATATCGTTAAAAAGAAGTGAAAATTCCAAATCTGTCGTGTGCATGTATTTCAATTTTCTGTGAATAAATTTTTTAACATAAAATTCCAGTGACGATTGTGAGAGGGTAGAATAGAGATCTTTTTCAGATATAAAAGGACAGCGATACAACCAACTGGAGGCCAGCTCGATATTTCTCTTAAAGTAATTGTTGCTGAATTTCAGGCCGAAGGGTATAAAATAGAAATAACCAAGTGAACTCTAGGAAT